TGAATGCAGTTTGAGTTGTGGGTGCAATTACCTGAATGCAGTTTGAGTTATGTGGGTGTAATTACGTGAATGCAGTTTGAGTTACATGGGTGTAATTACGTGAATGCAGTTTGAGTTATGTGGGTGCAATTACGTGAATGCAGTTTGAGTTATGTGGGTGCAATTACGTGAATGCAGTTTGAGTTATGTGGGTGCAATTACGTGAATGCAGTTTGAGTTATTAGTCACTGGTTATGGGATCTGCTTTCCAAGAACAGTCCACTCTCTAGAAAAATATGATAGAAATAACCTAGCAAATTCGACAATAATTGTTGGATTTCCCAGTAACTTTTCAAGATAATTTTTGCATCATTTGCCCTGACTTTGAAAGTCCTGGAATTTTTTAAGATAGTGATAACACCCCATGTTATGATGTGTTTACTGCAGGGTTTTAGAACAGTCTCATCATCTAAGCCAATGATGATCTGAACAATCCTGAAACTTTTGAAAACTAAATGTGTAGTGATGATTGTAATTTACACACCATAATTTTGAAGATATATTATTGAAATGGCTTCTAGTTAGAATATTTACTGATGATCTTTTGAGAAGTTATTCACAGAGTTAAATGTATTAACTTAATCTGTGATCACTGCAAGTAGTGTATTTCACAAATAATTTTACTTCAAGAAAGGTTTGGCCTTAAATTAAATATAAACACAGCATGATGTACATGTACCCTTACTTTCTGTATAATTTAACTGAAATAAATATTTAAACTATTTACATGTTTGTAACCAGACAGCAGAAAAAGCTAGACAAGAGTTGGAGAAGTGGCGCCAACAAATCCAGGAGCTACATGACAGATGTCAGGCTGCTCTGCATGTTATGGGCGAATTTAGAGGTACTAGCTGGTTCACAGAAGCCATCAAATAATTGTCCTGTCATAATATGGATGTCCCACTTTCTTTTACACAGTTTTGATGAGTGATCCATAGTGGTGTAACAATATTACAAGTACACCTCATGTGGTGCTTGCAGTTAAAATATAGAAATGCTGGATACTGTGACTGTTATGTTTTGTATTTAAACTCAGTAGTGCAATTGTTTAGTTCATTTCGAATTGATGTAACAGCATTTTCTCCATATGACATAAGTTGAATCTAGATATAATGTGATACAGCTTGCAACCCCAAATATGATAGAATTCCAAACGTAATGACCCCGTTACTTTGAGATTTAGCAAGCAAAAGAGGCCATTGCTTTTGGGTAGCCATTACTTTCAGATGGTTAAAAATGCTTGCAAGTACAGTAATTCACAGTTGTTTCAGACAAAGTGAACACTGACCATGAAATTGAAAGTTCTGTTTATTTGTTACTAACGACACACATAGACAAAGCAGACTGTTTTATGAAAAAAAAAGCCCCCAAGTGTTGGTACTGTTAGGTGAAAGTTAGAATTGTCACCTTATCTCAGAATATAACTAATTACACTGAACTGATCATTTGATGGCTCTACTGTCAGACAAACACAGCTATAGAAAGATTCAGTGAAATTCAAAATAAAATAAAAAATCTCTTCATGTTGCTCAGTCCATCAGTCAGGCTATTCCATCCACATTGCGTTTGATATCCGAGAATTTCTCTTTTAGTGACTTCTTTAAATGTTCAAAAAACCTTCATTAAACAAGGAATCTTCAGTCCTCCTCCTTAAATCCATTTTTTTTTCTTTTTTTCATTTGAGTTACTTGTTACGTTGTCTTTAAAATTGCAGTGTAACTACTTGGGATGTTATATCAAATATTTAATACATTTCTTTTATTGTAGTCCAGTGGTAATCTTCAAAGGACCACTTTTTTAGGGGGGGACTGTTACCTTCCGGGTTCTATAAGAAGGTAAAAAATTAACGTTACTTTCGGGGAGCTGTTATCTTCAGGTGGACCTTTACTTTTAGAATTCTATGGTATGAGTGTTATTACACACAGGAGACCTGGTTATGTATGCACACACAATTCGCATTTTTGATCAATTATTGATCACTGTTGTTGGCCGTTACTAGATGGTTCCAGTAAATTGATGGAAGCTTCCATTGAAAGCAAAAGGAAAGAAGAACAAGATCTCAATGAGCAGGACATTGTGGCTCACAGAAGACTTCGAGATGCAACAGCAGCAGCTGCTGTTGAGTGCAAACAGCATATTGAAAACTGTGATGAAAACCTGAAATTCCTCAAAAAACAGGTAACAAGTTTCAAATTGACTTGCTTTGTCAAAGAGATAGTAGTTTTGAATAGTTTTAATCAGTATTTAATTTGCAATTTTTACCTGATGAATTGTGATATTAGCGTTGTTTAGTTGTTAGGTTCTCATCAGTTATTAGGAGGAATAACTGTAAACTAGCACTCAAGCTAAGCGTATATCCATGCCAAATAAAGCATTCATTCATTCATTGATTCATTGATTCATACTGTATGACTGTCCAAAATGATTCCCATTGTATTCTCTGTTACTCCTGTAATTACTTTGAGGTGACACATTCAATTCTTCAATATTACACATACCACACAACATTCTGGCTTATAAATCTGGACTTATTAACCTAATATGAACCCTTGAAAGAAAACATATGCTCAATTTAAGAAAGGAATACAGTTAGTTGATACATCTCTTTCTGCAACTCAAAGAAAGACGACAAAGACCAGTGTTGTAACTATACATGTACTTATTTTTTGAACCACACAAAAGAAACAAAGCAAGTGAAATATACTATGAATTAGGCAATCAAACGTAATTCCAATTTTAATTCAAAAATTTCACATTTTCAGATGGCTAAAATGCAGTGAAAAAACAGTATCCACTTATTTTTTTGTGATTTACATATCAGAATCTCATCTAGATTCCATCAAGTGAAATAACAAATACATGTATCTGTCATGTAAACTTTAATCTTCAATTTTGGTATTTACACCATCAGTAGATCCCTGATAGACAGACTTACATGGTTATAATTTAGACTGTATTAGACACCAAAAAGTTGGTTGGCAGGGATGTATACATAAAATTACCACAACGTAATCGAATTTGCAGTCATATGCTCTGTCATTCTGTTTTGTCAAGTGCATTAACTAGGACAGCTGCTTTCCTGTGAATAACTTTTTAATGTTATTTATATTAACTTCAGATAACAAGCTTGAAGGAAGAGAAAAAATCCAAAGCCAAAAGTGGTTTGAAAGTTGTTGTGGGTGAAATTATGGAGAAACTGAAGAAGTATGAGGAATCGTATGGCCAGGAGAAACAAACAAAAGCAGAAAATGAGCAAAAATTTGAGGTTTACAAGAAAGAAATGCAAGACTTGGATGAGCGTTTGAGTGCACTTGGAGACATTGTGGAGGCATTTGACGATATTTGTAAGTTCTGCAGTTACAAAAGGCCAGTATAAGTGAACTGGAATGGCTGCAGTTAAAATTCCTTTCACATAAAACACACATTCAGTAGTAGGTAAACTTGACCTGGTAGCACCCATTAAATGGCACCCAATATTTTGACCACATTCTCAAAAGTTTTGCTTTACTGTACTATTTTAATTAATAGCTATAGCTACTAAATTTGTTTCAGGTTGTTCATACCATACTTAATTCAATATTGTCCTGTTTCAATACCTTGCTCCAAGCCTAATAGGGAGAGGTATTTTCCTTGCTCTTGGTAGCCTGTGAATTTAAACAGGTTTGCGGCTGTCGTTTTACTGGGCAAATTGACCGGTTCTGAGGACGATTCTGACTGCCCGGTTTAACCATCTAGAGGAAAGTTCTTCTCTTTTAGAATTTTAGTTCAAATAGTTTTGCCTGCCTGTGAAAACCAGTTACTGCCCGCTGAAAACATTAATGAAACCCGTCTCCCAGACTGTTCCCATAAAACCCACACATTTACATTTGACCTGTTAAGAATAAAGCAAAATTTAATCCATACCATATGCACATGTGGTACCAGTCAGAGTAATTTTGACTGGAGAGGACACAAACTTATTTGGGTGTCCAGAATGAAACTAACAGTGAATCAAACACTGCATGGACAGTATTACATTGTGTGAACTCAAGGTCTTTCACACCAGGCAATTAATAACCGCAATTATAATTCATTGTCAACAGATCGCCGTGTGCAGGACGAAGTGAACATGCTCTGGGAGGGTGAAGGGCACTCCTCATTGGAAGATTGAATCGCACCATGGTTGACTGTGTACCTACATTGATTCAAAATTTAATATTTGCTGTGCATGCTGTTATTCAAAAATTAGTGGTGCATTTTTGTCATAATGATAATAGTTAATTAAAAGTGTTTTGTAGTTCTGTCAGAGAAACAATGGTCATATGTTATAAACATTTTTTGGTTGAAATATAAAATCAACTTAAGTCTGGCCTATCCAATGTTATCCCACAAAGACAAATTTTGGCTCTTTAGACCCATAGTCTTTTGCTGTTCTCGGGCATGTTGCAGTTTGTGGGCTACCATGGAAACGCCATCATCCTCTTGGATATCTCCACGAGAGAGACAGTAGCCTACTCTGTATAGTTAGCCCTCTAATTCACTCAGGATTAGTCAGTGGCCAGCCGGGGTTCAAGCACAGGTCAAGGTCATAGTATTGTAGATTTGGGCAATAAGAGACAAAAAACTTGCATTGCTTAGAAAGTTTTAGTTTCTTGCTCTAGGAGTATAAATGGGTACCAGTTACCTTTCTAACAATATGCTGAGGGTTAACCTGCCACAGACTAGCATCCCATCCAAGTAGGGGTGGTAGCAATACAGTGGCCTCATACTGTAAAAACCAAGATAAGCTCTGACAGTGATAGTTTGCATCTAGAATGTGACTTGTTAATGCACTTTATTAAGCTGTGGGACACAAGTAAGTTAAAAATAAATTGTTTATGGTAGTCTTTTAAAACACTAGGCCCTTAAGTGTTTCAAAGTATGGATGACGTGTAGGTTTCACCCCAGGGTTTCACCAGGAAAATTACTGTCCAGTTAACGAGTCAAAGCAAACCACATGTTTAATCCATCCTTTAAGCAAACAGGGTATACCCTGAGAAAGTAGAAAACATAGGATTCTAGGTACATTTAAAGTACTCTGCATGGAAATAAAGCTCTTTTTAGTGTAGAGTGTACTATTGTCATGGTTTAGTGAGCTGTTGTCTTTAATTGTCATCTTGCGGCATGCTGTGGAAATGTTACCACATTGAACCAGTTACAGGTTTTCAAAAGCTATTAACTGGAAACAGTCCATCTTGAATCAACCCTAATTTTTAAATTTGTACAGAATTAGCTAAGAAAATTATCTCTTTGTGATCTCACATGCAAAGGGAAAACACAAAATAGATTTTTTTCCAGAAACAAAGCTTTAACTTGCATTGTGGAGAGATTCTTTTTTGACAACCTGGGATTCTTTTCCAGAATTTGAAGCAATAAAGCAGTGATGCTTGAGTACTGAAAAAGGTACAAGTCACATCTGCTTACAGGACCGTAGCTAGACTGACAGGCAAACAGAAGCACTTGCCTCAGCATTTTTTCGTTGTTGTTGTTTATAGTCATCATAAACACTCAAATTCAATGCTTCTCTTTAATTTTCCAGCAGAAAAAATAACATTGTATTAACACAATGAAACTGAATAGATAATAGCATTATAAGACAAACAAGGATTTCTTTTTAGTGAGTGAGTGTATTATGAGATATTTTTATCTTGAGGTCTTTGTAGTCCCTGTTTGTTTTGAAGAAAACTTTATTCAGGGTGCACATGGTCTTGAAAAGTCCTTGAATTTTAGGTAGAGTCCTTGAAAAGTCCTTCCACCCAATCTATCTTTGAGAACCCCTTGAATTTTCTTCAGCATTGAATATCTTTTAGGCTTGGCTAAATACATATATTATGTGGAGCACAAAAGTTTTGTCAAGCAAGAGTGCAAGTTGACAAATGAGAATTAAAGTCTCCTTGACTATCATTTGAGAGCTTGTTTTGGACTTCCATGAAAATTTGAATCAGTTCAACTTCGGTGATGATAAGTTGAAGAGAGCAAATTCAAATTCCAATATGATGATAACATGTGCAAGAGTTTTTTTCTTTTGAAATGAAAGGGAGAGTTTTGAGGTCTCAGCTACTATTCTTACTGGGAGTGAATTGATTGCCTGAAGAGTGATACCTCAGTCATTGCTGTGTGTAGCTTTGTTTGGAGGATAGGACTTGAGATAAGTTTAACAAGGGACACTTTCCTTGCAACCATAATTCTGGTGTACAATAAATTTCCAGTGGTGAAGGAAAGAGCATTTGCTGAGATTTCCTGAAAAGAGGACATCTTAGCTCATGAGGTATACCCACAGTTTTGAAAAGGTCTTGCGCAGAATAGTCCAGATGTAGTTTTGTGGGAAAATACTACACTTGTTACACTGAGTTATTAAAGAGGCATTATTGTGAAGACATGTAGTGTTTTGACTTCAAATTTGATTACTGGCGCACAATGCAGAAGCAATAACATTGAACCAAAATGTCCTAAACATTTACTTTCCAGGAAATTGCACTACTTTGTTTAGCTCTAAAACATTGTCTCCTTTAACTTTTCTTCTTGGCGGGGCGGGCGGGGGGTGTAGAGTGATTCACAATGTGACACTTGCCTTGTGACTTGCATTACTAACAATTTCATCCCCATAAATACCAGTTTTCAAGGTTAATGGCTAAGTTATTCCTTTTTTAACTGATGAGTCAGTTATTTTTAAGGGCTTGGATTGAATTTTCCATTAATAACCTTAACACATAAAGTGAAGTTTTTTCATGAAACACTTTATTGCTGACTTCCTGTTTTGCTACAGTGTAAAAATACAACCAGATAAACTACAACATTACCTTTTATTTACAAAATAGCATTGTGACCTATGAAAATACTTCACAGCCCATTTTTAAATAGTTAAAATAGCATTTGATGTTTTTAAATCACTTCTTCCTTATTGAAAACTTGGAAACTCTTGAATGTTTGTTTAGAACCACAATATTGATGCCCTCGTACATGTTTGGTTTTAAATTAAATTACTTTACAGGGAGTAAAATAACATAGGTAATATTTGAAACATTTTTGAAACATATATATGGCTGATGAAAATAATCTAGTTTTGTATAGAAACTGATCATATACAAAATTCTGACAACTAAAAATGCAAGCATTTCCCTTGCACCCAACTGGATCACTAATTTGTCTCTACTGAATAATGTTTTTTTAATTTAGAAAGACAAGTTAAATATTTCACCGGAAATATATGAAAATGACTGCACCACAGATGGATGCAAACCAGAAAAAGTACTTCTCACTACACCTATCTCATTGGTACTTCTTAGGGCTGCTGTTAACGTGAAGCACTAAATTTTTGCAGGAGTTTATTTTTGCAAATCAGCAATTTTGCGGGAACTAATTTTTGCGATTGTGAAATGACTGGTTTTTCTTGGGTATTATTTTGTGATTTTCAGGAAGTTGTGATTAATTGAAATTTCTAACAACATTTTTACATTTTTTAATTAAACAGCATACATGTACAATTGGCAAATGAAATAACATGTAGATCTGTAAAACACAGTAATCCAGTAATCAGTGTCACTCTATCACAATTGCATCATGCTCTTGTGCAGAATTGTAGAATACTCTTCTTAGTGGAGTACCTTCAGTTGATCCTTTCCTGTAAACCTTTTTTTTATTTCTCATTTCATCATTTTGTTTCTGAATGAAAGAGATGTTTTAGATAGATGGTAGCGACAAGAACATACTTGTGATATTTGTATTGTATAATTTTGCAGATCGTGGAAAAAAAAACAAAACTTAGAACCGCAAAAATTGAGAGCCACACAGTATTAAAACGAGGAGGGGAACAAATCTAACTAGTTGTGATCCATGACCCAGTGGCTACCCATTATGGTTATTCCCAAGTGTCAATTCTGCTGAAATTTAACTGTGATGTAGGGAGATATAAAAGAATCACATGATTGTCCTTACAGAGTAGACAATTTGTTCCCATTCTCTGAGTAGCGTAAATCCTTGAATTAGTGCCCGGGGCACTTACTTCAAATTTAGGAGAAGGCAGGGGGCACTTATTCAAGGGGGGCACTTAATCGAGGGGAGGGGGGATGCTTATTTAATTTTTCCCAAATCATGGCCTGACATGATCATTTTTTTTAATACATCATCTGCAACAACATAAGCTGTTCATCGACATAAAAAGCTGATCCTAAACTTTAAATTGCGGCACCGTTAGTGCTTGTAATTTTTTTTCCAAATTTAACCTGTTTACAAACTGAAACAATGCACAAATCTAATACTACATGACGAAAACTATACATCCTTTGTTGTCTTATTACTCATCCACAAAATTGGGGAGAGGGGAGGGGGTTGCTTATGCGAGGGAGGGTGCTTATTTAAATTTTGGCCGATAGGAGGGGCGCTTATTCAAAGGGGGCACTTATTTGAGGGGGGGCGCTAATTCTAGGATTTACAGTAAACTACATTATTTTATTACCTAGTTGTACTAATCACCTCTTTTGTGTGATACAGAGGCTGATTTTATAATTTAAAGCTTGCTAGAAGTTATTGCCCTCTAGGAAATACAAAGGTTAAAAGTAGACCTCCATGCATTTATTCTTCCTTTTAAAAGGCTGCCATTAATATTACTGCATTTTAGTTTCTGGCAATACCAGAGTTCCAAATTTGCTTTCAAAAGGAGTTATATTTACTATCAAGATTACCTCTTTGTAACATATATGCTTCATACCAACCTTAGCTATCAAACTAAGTAAACAAACTATCTGGTATCATTTAACCAAGGCCCAATAATAACACTACTAACTTCCGAACAGAAATAAACATAATTTAAAAATGGGGTCATTGGTAAATGTTTATTTCAAGCCACTGTGTTGTTGCAGAAACATCTAGTAGTTGGTGTGGCACAATATGTCCACCTACCATTTCAATAATTGGATTTAAGCCTGTTGTTCTCTTCTCTTAGTCTCTCTATCTCTGTGACCAGTGCTTCATTAACAGAATATTTTTCAAGCATCCCTTTTAACTCATTCTGTAAAACAATAATATTTGTAAATCAATGAACATGTCTAGAACATAAAGTTAGCAAAAGTCTTGCTTATGATAAACACACTTAAAAGCTGTTAATACATTTTACAGTCTGAATAAAGAAGCCTTGCACAGGTGAAAGCCAGAAAGAGCACCACAGTCCTGACAACGGCTGCCCCTTCCTAAATAGGTAGCATTATTCATTGCCATAGGTAGCAGTGTTCCTTGTACAGTATTCTGGGTGCAACTCCAGATGTCCCTCAGTATGACTTTTCAGCTCACACTTTCTACAATTTACAATACGGTCAGTTACACTGCTAACAATGCAGTACAGTGTAACTTACACTACTTACAATACAATACAGGTACTTACACTACTTACAATACAATACAATAAAGCTTCTTACATGACTTGCAATACAACACAGCAACTTACACGTGTTACAATACTTACACATCTAACAACACAGCTACTTACACTTATTCCTATTTACAATACAATACAGCTTCTTACCTGACTTGCAATACAATACAGCTACTTACACTACTTACAATACAGCAACTTACACTACTTACAATACAGTAGAGCTACTTACACTACTTACAATACAGCAACTTACACTACTTACAATACAATACAGCTACTTACACTACTTACAATACAGCAACTTACACTACTTACAATCTACTCTCTACGTTCTACCAGCTTCTCTCTTTACTCTACGATCTACGCTCTACGAACTACCATCTACCCTCTAAGCCCATCTACGCTCTACTCTCTACGTTCTACCAGCTTCTCTCTTCACTCTACCATCTACGCTCTACGATCTACCATCTACCCTTTAAGCCCATCTACAGTCTACTCTCTACGTTCTACCAGCTACTCTCTTCAATCTATGCTCTACACTCTACTATCTACCCTCTAAGCCCATCTGCTTGGAATGTTATTGGAATTTTTTAATTTTTTTTTCAATTTTTTTGATGAAGACTAGTGAGCAGCACAAAGAAGACTGCTTGTAGTTGTAAGCTTTTTTGTTTATTTCCAACATGTCTTGTCTCTATCTGAGACTTCTTCAGGAAATGATTTAAGCATGCCTAAGTTTAACTTCCCATGGAAGTGAATAACTGCTGAAACATGCCGTAAACGGACGTTACAAGAAACGCCTTAATGCACATGTTATTGTGTGCTGTTATATTTTGGGGGCCACAAGATTAGCGCTAACCATATGGCCCCCACAACATAATAAAGTTTATTAATGATCCTCTTTCGAGGCCTGGTCTGAGCTTCCACTAACGATACTACATTTAGGAAATAACACACTGGCTGTGGGTAAAATTTGGGTGGCAGGGAAGGACGACTGGGGAGTAGGGGCCCAGGAAGGGGGCCCTCCTGGGGGAGTACAGATCGGGTGGTACCGGGGGTAGCCACCCTGGAATAAAAGTTCCAGACCTGCCTCCAGGGGTGAGGCCCATATCCCACAACGAAAAAAATAAGAAAAAGAAAAATCAGTAGCGAAGGATCGGCACAAACGAGAAGACTGAATACAACGAGGAGCGTGTGCTTGACTAGAGGTCAGGGACATGAGGTGGACACGTGAGAGACATGACTGGAACCATTGATACACTGTCTTTTACAGATGTAGATAACAGTGGCTTTACTTAGGAAATGAAAGGTTTGTTGTGATATCCAAAGGGGGTGATTGTTTTCAACTGGGAATCCCTGATGGACTTTGAGATCAGGAATTGGTGGCATGTTACCTATGTTACTGGGATTTACTTATGAGCGTGACACGAGGTTCATAGTGTTACATGTCTCTGAAATAAAGTGTTACAATGCAGAATGTGTGTGCCTGTCTTTGAGATATTGTCTCTCAGGTCTCATTAACATCAGTTTATGGATGCCATAAACTTAAACAAAAAAATTAAAAAAAGATTAAAAAATTAAAACATTAAAAAAAGACATCCCTCGAACAACAAGAGGGCCTTTATTAGAGGCAAGCTTATGTGCTATACTAGAAATAGCACCACGTTTAAAGCCTTCAGTGAAAAGCGAGAAATTCTGGAAGCACCTCCGGATTCGCGGTTACCCAGTTGGGTTTTTACTTCCTTTATTCAGGGAGATTAAATGCAGTAACAGTACTAAATGGCTTTCGCTAAAACGTAAATCGCACAGTGGTAAAATTGTAGTCTTTAAATCTACATCTAACCGTAGTCACGCTAGCTGATGTGAAGGGCATTTTGTTATAGTGTACTCAAAAAGTGCAAATACTTAGGCCATGTGACTTTGAACACTTAGTGGATGTTTTGCGACCACATGGAGATGTTGTTTACTAGTTTTTAGGGTCGTAATTCGTCGTAGAGATTGCTGTTCAGTTCAAGTTTGAATAAATGGTTCAACTCAGAACCACTAACATCACGCTGGTTATCCAGAGACAATTACCAGACTTAGACTGTGTTGTCAGTTATAAATCTACTACTACTTTAGCACATCTTTGTACATGTAAATAGTATGTTTTGGGGGGGCTATACAATTAGCGGTAATCGTATGGCCCCCAAAATATAACAACACGCAATAACATATGTATTAAGGCATTTCTTGTAACATCCGTTTACAGCATGTTTCAGCAGTTATTCACCTCCATGGGAAGTTAAACTTAGGCACGCTAATGTGCTATATATGCTGTTCAGTGTTAGTTGTAATCATTCCCTGAAGAAGTCTCAGACAGAAGAAACGCCTCAGAAATCAACAAAAAAGCTTACAACTACAAGAAGTCTTAAAAAATTAACAAAATTTTAAAAAAATTGAAAAATTTCTAAAACCCTCGGAGCAGATGGGCATAGAGGGTAGATCGTAGAGCGTAGATCGAAGAGAGTAGCTGGTAGAATGTAGAGAGTAGAGCATAGATGGGTTTAGAGGGTAGATGGTAGAGCGTAGAGCGTAGAGTGAGTAGTTGGTAGAACACAGAGAGTAAAGCGTAGATGGGCTTAGAGGGTAGATGGTAGATCATAGAGCATAGAGTGAGCAGCTGGTAGAACGTACTGTAGAGAGTAGAGCATAGATGGGCTTAGAGGGTAGAGAGTAGATTGTAGAGAATAGAGCGTAGTTGAAGAGAGTAGCTGGTAGAACGTACAGCGTAGATGGACTTAGAGGGCAGATGGTAGATCGTAGAGTGTAGAGCATAGACTGAAGAGAGTAGCTGGTAGAACAAAGAGAGTAGAAGGTAGACGGTAGAACAAAAAGCATAGAGCATAGAGGGTAAACGCAGTACAGAATTGTACATTAAAAAGATTATTAAAATACTGTAAACCATAATAACACTAAAGAATCCCCATTCGCTTTAATATTTGCTACAATAACTCTAAGCCTTTACACCCGTACATAGAACCATGAAGTGTAGAGCGTAGATGGTAGAGGGTAAATCAAACAAATACAGAATTTTAAATTGAATACAATTAAAACACTGTAAACTGTAACAACACTTTAATATATGTGAGATATATGCAAGGAATATGCTACAAATTAAAATCAAATGTTACAAAATAGGCAGGTAACCATAGTAACAATACACAACTACGGTAAAAGCTATGAAGTAGGAGGTAATGTATCTTTCCAACACGTGGGGGAAACTGATGACAAAAGAGTAGAGTTGTAGAGCTCTATGAAAATTTCTATGCCAAATCGAGCTTCATAAAACAGGCACCAGTTGATTGTGGGTATATGGAAAAAGCTAACAGAAAGTGTTGTGATCAATTTAGCCATCACGAATACCATCCAGAAATGTGAGTCAATAGAGACCATGAAAAGCAGACTCCTTCAAGCCAGGCCTCTTACATCCACCACACTGACTATGAACACATGCTAACCATAATTCTACACCTAAAATTGCTCTGAACAGTCTTCCAAATTTGTTATAACAACTTATGTGCACCTTTATCAACTGCAAGTTGATAAACATTAATATTCAAGAAAAGATACAACAAAAAAGCCAATGCAAGAGCCAACGTTTGAAAAAAGAACAGTCAAAAGTCCTTCAACAACATTTTATTGAAAACCTCACAGAAGAACCTGAAAAGTTTATTTCTCCTGAAAATAAAAGCTGACTAAAATTGTTTCTCAATTGCTATTTCCTCCTCTGTTTAACAATGATTAACTGAGGTGCAGACAGCATTCTACAAAGCCCGATTGCAGTGTGATTGTGTTGTAATAATATCTGTCACTGAGTTAATTAAAAAATGTATTTTTGCCATTGCTTGCTTTACAATTGAGTCATCCACACTGTGTGTACAATCATTGTAGTCACTAAACAGTACAGAACTGTCTTGTCTCCAATGCGGAGCTGGCGGGTTGATTGAAAATAATTTCTGTCACCAGGTTCAAAGTTTCAGATATAATTTGTTGCTGAGTTCATTGGACCAAACTTTGAAATCCAAATTTGGATGTTTCTAAATCAGCAGCCAACCTAAATTGTCTATTCCAGTGGATAAAAATGGTCACATTGCTTGAACATGACTGGAGAGATCAATAACAAACTCAGATTTCTTGTCTGAAATGGTGCTGTGTTAAAAACTCTCAGGTGGTCCTGGTTGAAGGTGTTTACTAACAATATAGTTATTTCCTTGTGTACCGCCATTTCAAAATTCCCTGATCACCATAGGAAGGCACCATAAGGACGCAAAAGGAAGAGTATTCCTACTATTTTCAAGACTTCTAAAAATACATTAACCTGGAATTGACATATCACAACCGATGTCCTATGTTAACCTCTCTGTTCCCTCATTTTCTCAGGTGGACAGATGTTGGAATTTAGTCACTGATGTAGGTGTGACCCATAATACAATAATTAATAATACAGTGCATATTACCACTCACTTGTTGAATTTGAAACTGTCTAAGCATTTCAACCTGCACATTCACAATATCTCTGTGTAAAGCCATCCTGAAAGAAAAAGGTTGTTTCATTAAGTACAATACTATCAGACCAGACACTATTTTTTTTTTTTTTTATGTAGGCAGAGAAACAAAAGAACTAGGGATGGAGTTTTGTGGCAATCTACAACACATTTATTTAACCCTGATGAATTTGCCATAATACAATAGCTTTCACTTACACTTGATGAAGATCATGAACATGCATGTAACAATGTTTTGTTACAGACAGAAGGAGCCTGAGGTTTCAGGGCAACTATTTCTCCTAGTGGTAAACAGGTAAATTACCCCAAGAGTTAAAAAACAATAAAGGACAGAATAGTATGACTCTATACTCTTCAAATGTTTATTTAGAAAGTGTAATTTCCCGCATTTGTTGATGCTGCCATATTTCTGAGCTAGCTAGCCAGGGACATAGAATGTTTTCAGTCTCCAATGTTTAGTTTTCTATAATGGTGGTGAGGACTCTAAACCATAGTAACTGGGAAAACTGCTTGGAATTCGATCCTAAGGGACAGCCCTGATAACTATACACTACATAACTTGTGACCAGTTAATCAGCTGTAAGTGTATGCTGCAGGTCGTCATAGATTTGTGTTTAAGAGATGCCTCGAAGTCTTCGCATGAAGCCATTCATGATCAATGAAAATGAGTTTGGCCTTCACATGCATTTCAAACAAAGTAAACTCATTTTCATTACCATGAAACATTTGTCCAAAGACTTATTTTGAAAAGAAGGGAATAGGTAACCCATCAATAACCTAGTACACAAACATGATCGGTGACTGTATCCTTGCAGACAAATACACAAGTGAGTTCAGTCCCTTTATTTCAAGAAAATGTCTACAGCATTACAGTATTTTGTATTAACTAAGCTTGTAAGCAATAACTCTTGCATGTTTTTGCAGACTTGGTTCATATTTGAGAATTTTCAAATGTTGAGTAAAATTGCTACTCATTGCCATTTCCCTTCTATTATCGTCTTCATGACAGGCTGAAAAGGGATATCCTGTAAATGAGTTTTTAATCTACATTGGAAGTATTTCTCACTGTATTAATATCACACAGTTTTGTCCCCAGTCATACCTGAACTCATCCAGTGATTCATCAATCAAATTCTTAATGAACTGTACTTGAAATGGTAATAATCCCGCATTACTGGCAGTGCTTGCAGCCTCATCAGCCACAGGAGTTGTTGCCACCCCAACAGCAACACTAGGTAAAGGATCTACACTGTGTTTTGCACTATCAAATATAGAACTTTGATCTAGTGAAAGTAATGAAAAATTAGAAAACAATCTTAAATTTTTTAATCTCTCACTATCTTGTATTTGCCTACATGTACAGTTCTTGGCTTCTGCAAGCTGTGGAGAGCTCTTAAGGCAAGCCTAAAACTTTCAAGGTATTTCTAGGCAAACTGGAGATGCCATTGTAGAAGCAGAAAACTGGAATCATACAGGGTTCTTTGACAGATCAAAAGAAAACAAGATAGTGGATTACTGGGAAATGTTTAAAATTTAAACTACCATTGAATAAATCTTTGCAATGTGACAAACTCAGCCTTGAAGGAGAGTTTGACAGCAAATTCACTACATACTAGAAGCTTTTATTGACTCCAATTTCCGTGTCCAGTTCAAGTTCTAAGTCGAATCCTTCCTTTCCATTTTTTAATGGTAATACTCTGTTTTGTCGTCAGCCTTACCAGAATTCACTGATTAAAATCTGGTCTTAAATTTACCCACTCCTTACTCTTGCTACCATGTAGGTAACTACATGTAAACTGAAAATTCTGAAAACTATTTATTTACTAATCATAAATTCTTAAGCATCCTGAAGGAAAATATTAATTTTCATTTTGAGCAATATGGAAGGGGAGCTTAAAGAGGAAAAGGGTATAACAGAGAGAGGGAGGTTTTTAATTTAAAGTGGAATACTACCTGTAGTTTAGGATTGAGTTCACTTTTAGTACAAGTACTAGTTAACAATATGTCCCCTTAGTTCAAAAATATTGTAACATATAAATTTGTGCCCACTAGATAAATACATCAACAATGCTTTTTAACTAGTGAGTAGACCAGGGAATAAAACAGGGGGCTAATTAGAGCGGGAAGCATGTGAAATTTGAATTTGAATTTTGATGGAAGGTTAGAATCTTAAGAGAAAAAAGTGGAATATGGATAGGTTGAAATTCTGCCAAATTTAGCAGAATTAACTGTAGTGGCAGTTAATTCTGCCATTAAAATTTGGCAAACCTAAACTGGTTCATAGCTTTTCTGTTTGAAGAGGAGGCTACAAAGTGCTGGTTTTACATAGGGGGCACTTATTGTATATGATCATGCTATACTGTGTAAATTTAGTCGTTAACCTGTTTCTCCTGTAGTGACAGCTGCCTTAGTCTGACTCACAGGCTCATCAGGTGTTCCTGTGTTACCACCTGCTGGCTTTCGGGGCTGGGATGGAGACTAAATAGAATGTCCTACTGGTTAAGAGTTGTCGTATTGTTAACATCAAGAACAGTGACCCATACAATGCTTATGTGAGTGTCCATGGACATATATATATGTACATGTCCATCAAACAAATTTGTGCTTGTCATTGTCACAGTATAAGACAAGTGTAATACGTTGTAAGAGAGAGTCTCTTCTCTTTCTGCTTGGAGAAAGAAAAGGAGGAAGAGAGACTAGAATTGCCTGATGAAATGACTTGGATGGTACATGTAACATTTCTAAACTTTTGCAAAGAGTTCAATAAATTGGAAATATGTAAAATCAGATTTAAACCTCTGAAAGCAAATTTGTCTTGTTGATCACAGCACCAAAAGGGAGAAAGCAAATTCACAGAGAAGTATTTTAATTGAGGTAAATGGAATTATTCAACACTCAAGAAATCCTGCTAGTACTGTAAGTCTTTGTAAGTTGACAGACTCCTACCATTGCTAAATTTACAGAGTTACAATATATACATATTCTGTGGTTAGTTTCTACTATAGTTAATAACGTCAGTGAACACACATACCTGTTGTGCCAGCCTTATGGTGCTGTTCTTGACAGATCCAGGTGGTGACTCTCCTGATGTTTGTCTTTCATCTCCTTCTAAATGTACTCTCCCAGTAACACCAGGTGAGGTGTCAGCAAAGGATCTGGTACTAGAGTCTGGTACCAGATCTTGTGCATTGTTCAGGTCTTTGGAAGAACTGGCAGCAGATAATCTGACATTTTGAGGGGCTGTGGGTGTTGCTGCAGCTGTTGTGGCTACTCCTAGTGTCCTTGGTGAATTTCTTCCTAACTGTACACTGCTATTTTCTGTGCCAGTCACTCCATCACCATGATGCAACTGACTGCTAGTTGTTGCAGGCAAGTTTCTTCCAACTGGAGAGAATATTCCTAATCCTTAAAATAATGGAAAAAAGTTAATTTATTGTAAATGATACTCTTGGATAGAGAATATTCAAGTTCAACAAGTCATCCAAAGAAACTGAAGTAAACTATGGCATTGTCACAAAACAAATTCTATATAAAACAACAGGCTGCATTTTTACATGGTAATTGTGCAATTCACAGATGAATAAACAAATGAGTGGCTTCAGAGACTAGAAAAAATACATGTACATGTGCATCACTTTGAAAAAATGTAAAACTGAAGTAGACGCAATCAACCTGATGCTATTCCATCTCAATTATTGTTTTTACAGATTGTAATTTCACATCAAGTATAACTGTTGAAATGCAATTCAAATCTTGATTATTTTACACCAAATGGGACATTTTATCCTTAAGAGTAAATTGACCATACACGTTGTTGAGGTGAAATAGCATGTGTTAGGTCTATTTCTCTGAAGAAATGACTTTTTTTAACACACAACCTTTGCTCTAAGAACAATAAAATTAGGGGGTATTTGAAACTGTTTGCCCCAGCAGCTTTTAAGAATGAGGAATGCACAGGTATACATAATATATTTGCTGCAGAGGCTTTGAGAATGAGTTCTTGAGTTTTCTTGTCTGGAGCTACAGAGAGAATGCACATTTCCCTAAAAATGTATCAATTGTCCACACACAATAATATTATTGATCACGGTATGCATAGCATGGGTTCTGTTTGTTTCGTAGGGTTTTTTAAGCAGGTTCTTCTGGAGCTTAGTTTACACACACCTTTGAGTTTTGAATGTGCACATAGTTTTACTTGTTTCCATGAGAGTTTCTGGATTAAAACATATCAATTGGCTGCACATGCTTATAGAATGAGGTATACATTTCATATTACCAGTATGTCCTTTTTCTGTTTTGTATGTGTGAGTAGTTTTGTTCCCATGAATGTTTTGCTTAAAATATATCACTTTTCAGCACACCCTAATAGAATGAGGCATGCATTCTTGGCATCCATAGTTTTATTTGTTTCCAAGAGTGTTTTTGCTTACTGCTCACACATTATCTGAAATGCATAGCTTGTCTGCACATGCTTGTAGAGTGGTGTATAATGCTTTGAAACTATGCATGCTTTGTTTGCATGCATAGTTTTAGTCTGGACATGTGCTTCATATAAAATTTCCAGAAGGAACAAGCTGTGCCCACTTGTGTCATCTGTGACAACTTGATGACGTTTCCTACCCCATTTTTTCACAGTCAAGTCAACTTCTTGAAAGAAAGGGCTGTTTCCACTCTTGTTGAATCGTCACAGCTAGTCAACATTTCCCATTATTAGACTTCCTGTGTGTTTAGTCAGACTATCTGTAGGTTATGTCAACTTCTCGTAAGGATACCTCCATGAATTTTACGGCATGACTCCTGTCAAGAACAACTTTGAGTGGTGCTTTAAGACTGTCATTTGTGGCTACAGTTACTGTTATGTGTATTTGGGAAATACATAATTTCCTCTAAAAATTCTTTAAGGGTCTCAAAACTTGAAACTCCAGAGCTCATATATCATAATGTAACTTAAAACTTGAAAAAAAAAAGCTTCAAAAATCAGTTCTCCATTCTCAAAAGCACTGAGCACTAAGAATTAAGTTTTGACTTCAGACTGACAACTTCCATTTGACCAGTACTAGGCAAACATTAAAAAACAAATAATAGAACAATATATACCAGAGTATTGTCTGAAATATATGTTGGATGATCTCCCTCTACTCATCTTCTTTGCTAATAATTACTGCCAAAATTTTATCATGCCAAGTGTAGAACACACCTTTTTCACATTTTTGTTGAGTCTACACTGTAACTCTACATGACATATGCCAACAACTGAGTGAAGCCAACATGATATCCCTTATATTTATGGCAACACAAAATAAAAGTTGAGTAAATTTCAACCAAATGTTTTAATTCTATTCAATAAAGTGTTTCTAAGGTAGTTTTTATAATAATGGATAGAGCTACATTTGATTGGTTTCTTTAAAACAATCATATTAAACTCTTTGTCTTAATTTCAACTATTCATAATTCAAATGATTTTTAACCCCCATGAAGTATCCACAAATAACTTAATTCCATAAAGCATTACATGGCAATAACACCACAAATAAACTTCATACAATAACATTTATTTGTAGGTCAAATTTAATATGACTATTATAAATAATCAATATGTTGAACAACGTTTTCGATGTTCTTGTAATTACACTGCACAAATTCAAATAAAGTGGTCAAGGCAAGTATACTGAAATGTCAAAAACTAAAAACATAATGGTCACCTGTGACCACTGAAAAAAAAAACACTACAGGCACCTGTGACCACTGAGATGCATGCATGCATGTAATATCAAGAGAACAAAACAACTACCCTAACTGACTTTAAGTTCCCAAGTCAGTAAAATCCACCAAAGAACCATAAGATTTTTTTCTTGTTATAGTTGATTAGGTGTTATACTTCCTTAAGTACAACCTCCTTGAAGTTATGACAAAATGAAAAGTTATGTAAAAATTGCCAACTAATAATTGAGACAGAAATGATCAATTGCCTTATTCCCGCTGACTGCATAAACATAATTGTCAGTTCTGCCCTTAACTTGAACCTTCCAAACAACTAGAATTAAAATGCTAAATGTATCTGTGGTTCATACAGTTGTAATACCACAAAATAAAACAACAATTTTATTCCTATACAATATCTACATGAACGTCTTTACAACAGATTTTCTTTTTTTAACATCTCAAAAAAGTCCTTGTAAAATTGCAACTGCAAGTTATTGCAGCTGTACCTGATAATTTTAAGAGATTTACAAAACAAGTCAATGACAGTTGCAAGGGCACAAACTTATAGGGGCTTAATTACTGTTTCAATTTCTTTTTCATCTTTATGGGAATCATGCCATGTCAGTGAAGAATTATCATCGCAGTTA